CTTGGGAAGAGAGCACATACTTGACAAGGTTTGCCCGTCAAATAGCGGTGATGTTTTGCCCGTCCCAGGTGACTAACTTGGAGGCCGTCTTATCCTTGAGGAACTGAAAATCAACTGTCTTTAGCTGCCACACCGAGGGTGGAAGTCCCAAATATTTTATGGGGAAAGATGCCCGGGTAGCCGGGAGACTGCGGAGGACGTTTGGGAGGTCGATGTTCCCACAATGAATGGGCACGACCGAGCTCTCGAGGAAGTTAGCGGCCAGCCCCGTGACCTCGCCGAAGTGGTGCAAAATCCTAGCGAGGTTGTCGATGTCGCTTTTGATAGGTGCCATGAAAACAACTGCATCGTCCGCATATAGGGAGATGCGAAGAACCACACCACGACCATGAATCTTGTGGAACAAGCCCTCGCGAGTGTCCACCGCAAGTATTCTTCGAAGGGGGTCAATAGCAATGACGAAGAGCAGGGGTGACAAATACCCACCCCTTGCTTCTGCCATTTTATTTCGAAATAACCCATCTCTTATTTATTTTCCGTAATTTGAATGGGCAACGTGTGTCTTATTTTCATTGTAGGAAAATTCGCCGCTTATTTCCCATCCCATCATGTTTTCAAAATGGAATCCATCCTTGAATTTAATCAGAACAGCTCATGTGACTCTAAGAGGGTTATACAAATGTGCAACTCGGGCAATTTAATCAGAACAACTATTAATTCAGCTATCGAACTAGCTATAGCTATTTCACGTATTCATTTTACAACATGAAAAAGTTGGCACCAACGTTTTTTCTTCCGGAGTTAAAAGTAAATCACAAGTAGACAAATTTTAGGTGTGTACCATGTTCTCAAATACACTATGACTTTTCAGTAATTAGGCGTGTATTTGGAGTAGTTACTAGTTCTACCACACAATAGTGTCACTAGACTGCCCGCACCAAAAACAAAAGATTCCAAAGCAAAGTTGCTACAAGTGCATTAAAAAGGATCCCAACTCCTAAGGTTACATTCACTACCCGTACTGAGGCTAAAATCGCATATTTTACCCTTCATGAAATGTTAGCACGAAATAGTTTGTGCTAAAAGTTTTATCACAATCTGGCCCTTTTTACCAACGCCATCGCCGTCGTTGTCAGAGTGTGCGATCTGGCTGGCGGAGTTCAGGGACGGTGTTGGAGATA